TTTGTCAATCGGGACACCCTCTTTTCTTCTGGTTTTTTTTTTGGGTTTTTTTTTTTTTTTTCCCCTCCTAAAAATGTAAAATAGAGCTAGGATGAATACTGCTCACTTTCCAAAAAGAGAGAGAGAAAAATCTGAAGTCCATCCATGTCAGATTGTTCAGTATCTTTACAAGCTGAGCAAGTTATTGCCCTATCAGATTTATTTAACAAGTCCTGTTTAAACATCCCCCAACAATATTAGCATTAAAAATAGTCCTGATGTTTGAATCCTGCACCATTCCTTCTGGTATTTTGATATCAGTGACAGGCTAGAGAAGGCAAGTCATGAACAGCCAGAGTAATTTAGGTTGGAAGCACCCCTGGAGGTCTCTGGTCCAAGCAGTCACTCAAAACATGACCAGATTAAAACACTCTGCTACATCTAAGATAGTATTTCATATCAGCTGACTCCCCTCAATCTTATAAATGTGTATTTTATTTGTATTACTAATTTGTTTAGGTTCTCTTTCCAAGTACTGGGGTTGGTTCTTGCCAAGAAGTTGAAGTGCCTTCTGCTAAAATACTTCATGGATACATTCTCTCCACATACTTGTTTGTGGAAGATGTTGCTTTACCTCTCCTCCTTATTAAGCTAAGTAGATAGAGCCACTTTTATCTCTAGCAGCAAACCATGTCAGCTGGGGAGGTACTGGGGAGTTCCAGGGCTGCCTCTGGTAGAGCTCTGAGTACCTCCACAGATGGAGGTTCCACACCCTCTGTGGGACCCTGTGCCAGTGTTGGACCACTCTCACGGGGCCGGGGGTGAAGTCCTAATAACTACTTGGAATTTTTCTTCTTGCAGCTTATATCTTTTGCTTTTTTCCTCAGAGGAGCGCCTGACTGTCTTCTCTACACCCTGCTGTTTGGTAGCTGCAGGCAGAAAAAGGTCTTTGCCTTCTCTTCTTCAGGCTAAGTAAACCCACTTCCTTCATTGTCTCCTTGTATGTCCACTGCTCCAGCCCATGGCCAGTTTGGTGGCGTCTGCTGGACTCAGCCAGTACATCTGTGTCTTTCTTGTACTGGGCAGTCCAAAACTAGACATTGCACTCTAGATGTGGCCTCACAAGACCCAGAGGGGAAAGAACACCTCCCTTGACCTGCTGGCTGACACAGCCCAGTCTATGGTTGGCCTTTTTAGCCAGAGGACACGCTGCTGACCATTCTTCAACTTTTCATCCACCAAGACTCCCCAGATGCTTTTCTGTGAAGCTGCTTTCTAGCCATCATCTCTGGTCTGTCCTGATGCCACGGGAGCAGGACTCAGACTTCTTTTTGCTGAGGCTGCTGTCCGCCCCTTTCTCCAGCCTGTCAAGGTCCCTCTGAAGGACAGCCCTGCCTTCAAGCCTATCACCTGTGCTTCCCCCTTCCCTCCCAGTCTAGTATCATCCACGAACTTGATGAGAGCATGCTGTATCCCATAATCTCTGTTAACTAAGACATTAAACAGCATCAGCCCCTGAGGGACACCACTAGTAATTAATTCATGCAATTAATAGCTGAGTTCAATTTTCTGCTTAATTTGAAGCCTTGAGTGTTTCATTCTAAATCAGGCTCTCCTGTGGGCCTCTGACCAGCCTCTGACATCAGTTACTCAGTCCCAACATTCCTCCTGTTGCTCTTTATGACCCATGAGCTGTAGGCAGAGGGTCTAAATCCTGACTGGTGGCCCCCACAGAGCTCTTCACCCAGCAATATCCTGTCCAGACACAAAGGCATGTTATTAGCCATGGTCTAGACTCTGTAGGAACCAGCTTTAGGACCATGGTTTGGTGGAGCAACAAGATGGGTAGTTCACTAGCAATACTGGGTCCCTTCCAAGGGATCTGTGCCCAAAACTCCCCCTCCTTCCTGGTGGAGATTATGTTGGACCACCTCAGGTCACCTCCCAGGGCAATTGTTTCTTCTTTCTGCGGAAGCCCATTATGTTCAGGGCAGGGTTGCCTCTGTGTACCCAGTTGCTCACTGAGGTTGATCCTCTGTTGGCGTCCACAGTGGGGCTTCCCCAGGGTGCCAAGTGTGTGAGAGGGAGGTCCTGCTCCACCCAGGCGGCAGTTGACACTGCAGGAATGTGCCCCCCCCCCCCCCCCCTGCCTGTAGCTATCCATGTCCTACCCCTCCCCACAAAGAGAGCTGTGTCACTGGTCCCACTGGCAGAGCTTGTGGAGCCACCATGGTCTCTCTGTGGTGAGGGACCTGTCACTTGGGAGCCAGAGCTGCCCGCTCAGCTAGTACCACACTCGCCAGCCGTATACAGCCCCTGAAACAATGTGCAGGAGCTGCAGCCTGAAAACCAGCACTGCACACCAGCCCTGCTGCGCGGCTGTCTGCATTGTGCTGCGCCAGCTGCATCCCGGAGATGAGGCAGCTCTTACTTCCCAGCTGGTGGCCAGTGCTGGGTTAACCATTAACTCCCTGCTTCGAGGCCTGCTGGGGACAGGGCTTTGTTTGCAGGGTATTGAGGAGCTGCTCACTTTGGCCTTTCCTGCGATGCTCTGATGACATTTCTTGATGGGATCCTGCTGGGGTCTGAACAGCATTTCCTGTCTGCAGACAGCTGTGCAGCAGTGCTGTGGCCCACGTGGTGTTTACAGTCTGTGGGTGGCCCAGGGCAGGATGTGATCATGGTGGTGAGGGTTGGGATAGGTGTGCAGCCAAGGCCAGGTTGCTTTCCGCGTGCTTCTTTCAGCTGCCTGAGGTGTGTGAGACCAAGCAAATAGGTTGGTGATTCCCCCAGATTGAGGGAGGTCCCTGGGAGCGGGCTTGCAGTCTGCCTGCTGTGCACCACGAGTGCCCGGTGTGCCGGTTGGCAGCCCAGGCTCTCCCTGCCCGCCAGGACACGAACTGCCTTGAGTCAAAGACTTGAGGCGCTACAGTCTCCCTTACAGGCACTGTCTCCTCCCCACATCCTGCTCTTCTCTTCTGAGCGCTGTGAAATAGGAAACTCCTGAGTCTTTCCTCTGCAGGGAAGCTCCATATAAATGCCAACGCCAAGTCCTGCGTCAAGGCAGACAGCCTGGACAAGGGCGCAGAGCCTTTGTCACCCCCCTCCCCTCTAATTTGCAGTAGCCCTTGTGCACACTGGGACATGCCTCTGGCCCAGGATGGAACGATGCTAATGCTGAGGGCCAAAGAGGGACTTCAGGTCCTCCCACACATCATTCTGGCCTGCTCAGATCCCCACTCCCTGCCAGGCACGGAGGGACTGTTTAAAGAGAGCCCTGCCACCTCTGAGCTGAGCTGGGAAGAGGTCTACATTTAGTGTGTTACAGCGTGCCTGTGTGTTATAATCACTGTGCATTGTCAGTGGCAGCAAGGAGAAGAGGTGTAAGCATTCGTAACTGCTCATCTCCTGGGTGGGCGAGTGGGTGGCAGCCGAGGGCAATGACAGCTTTTGAAACAGGAGAGAGAAACTTGAAACTCTCCTGGCACGGTGTCCTGGGGATGTGACTAAAACCCAGGTGAAGATTTCTGCCAAGCAGCCTGGGCTGCAGGAGAAATACTGGCAGCAATGGACAGTGCCGACTGGCAGTAGCGCTCACACCCTCTGACTCTGTGCTGGGTGTGTGGAGGCTTGCACCTTCCTCAGTGGCCACCAAATGGCTGGGGATTGCATTTTCTAGTTTCCAGGTCTTGTTTGTGGTTCCTGAATCTCCATGTATTCAGGAGAAGGCGTCTTCAGGAGACTGGCGCAGTGCTGAAAAGAGAAGTGTCTGCTGTGTGGTCATGTCCATTTACAGGGACCTGAGTCCTGCACGTTCATGAACCTTCACAGCCTAAGCACTTGCACGTAGGCAGCTTGTGCTGACTGTTGAGCAGTGGGGTGAGGGTCTGCTGGTTGTGCACACATGGTCTGTGCAGAGCAGCAGAGGAGGGCATTTCCTTCCCTCAGCTACAGGGAACAGGCTGTTTTTGGAAATCCTGTATAAGCAAAGTAAATGGACCATGTCTCTTCTCCACAGTTTCATGTATTCTAATTTAGCACTCAGAAATGTGTTTAATCACAGAATCATAGAATGGTTTGGGTTGGAAGGGACCTTGAAGATTGTCTAGTTCCATCCCCCTGCCCTTCCACTAGACCATGTTGCTCAAAGCCTCGTCCAGCCTGGCCTTGAACACTTCCATGGATGGGGCATCCACAGCTTCTCTGGACAACCTGTCCCAGTGCCTCACCACCCTCTCCGGGAAGATTTTTTCCCGGTGTCTAATCTAAATCTACCTGCATTCAATTTAAACCCCTTGTCCTATCACTACATGTCCTTTTAAAAAGTCCCCTTCCAGGTTTCTTGACACTCATTCAGGACTGGGCTGTAAAGTCCCCAGAGCCTTCTCTTCTGCAGACTGAACAAGCCCAACTCTCTCAGCCTTTCTTCATAGGAGAGGTGCTCCAGCCCTCTGATCATCTTTGTGGCCTCCTCTGGACTCGCTCCAACTGATCTATATCCTTCTGATGTTGGGGGTCCAAGAGCTAGATGCAGAACTCCAGGTGGGGTCTCACGAAAGCAGAGTAGAGGTGGAGAATCCCCTCCCTCAACCTGCTGGCCACACTTGTGATACAGCCCAGGACACGGTTGGCTTTCTGGGCTGCCACGCACACTGCCAGTCATGGCCATCTTTTCAGCCTCCATTACCTCCAAGTCCTCCTCTGGGCTGCTCTCGATCCATTCTCCGCCCAGCCTGTACTTGGTTTTGGGATTGCCCCAACCCAGGTGCAGGACCTTGCACTTGGTCTTGTTGAACTTCATTAAAAAACAATTAAAAAGTTAGGCTATAAATGTTTATATAAATAACTTAAGCAGTGAGAATATTCTGAGCTCTTATATTGATTTTAAGCATTTTTTTTTCAGGGTGAGATTGCCTCTGTTCAAAGAAACAGTAATGTACCAGGAATACACAAGGTGTTAAAGACCACACTATTCACTCAGACTAATCAAAGCTTTCACCTAAAAGGAATAAAAAATAAACATGGCAGAATTTACAGGTTACAAGGAAACCTCGAATCGGCACCTACGATTCAAATTGCAGAGTCTTAGTCGCCGCCTTGATGAACTGGAGGAAGCAACCAAAAATTTGCAGAAAGCAGAGGATGAGCTGCTTGACCTCCAGGACAAAGTTATCCAGGCAGAAGGCAGCAACTCCAGCATGCTGGCTGATGTTGAAGCCCTGCGGAAAAGAGTGCTGAAGATTGAAGGCAAGGATGAAGAAATTAGGAAGGCTGAAGAGCTTTGCCGGTTAATGAAAGAAAAACTTGAAGAGGAAGAGCGCCTCACCCAAGAGCTGAAATCAGAAATCGAACACCTTCAGAGGAGAATGGCAGAGCTGGAGAAGCTGGAGGAGGCCTTTGTCAGGAGCAAGAATGACTGTACGCAGCTGTGTCTTAGTCTCAATGAAGAAAAGAACTTGACCAAAAAGATATCTACAGAATTAGAAATACTTAGAGTGAAAGTGAAAGAACTGGAAGCATCTGAGGACAGGCTGGATAAAACTGAGCAGAGCTTAACAGGTGAGTTAGAAAAACTGAAATCCTTAGCACTGAGCTTTATCACTGAAAGAAAAAATTTTAATGAAAGAGAAAAGCAGAATGAAAAAATAATTCAGGAGCTAACACAGAAACTAGAACAAAACAATAAACTAAATAGGGCAGATCAAACTAGAAATGCATCTAACTTGCTAGAAAGGTCATCAAATAATCTCCTGGACAGAAATGATTTGAGGATTGAAGATGACTTGACTTCTACGTTGCCCTCTAAGGAGACCAGGAGGAAGGGAAGTATGGATTACCTGAAACATGTAGAAAATGAAACCAGGAATAAATCAGAAAACCAGAAGAATAAAAATCAGGAAGACAACAAAGTGAAAGATCTCACTCAAGAAATTGAGAAACTTAAAACTCAGGTCAAATGTTTTGAATCTTTAGAAGAAGAACTTAAAAAAATGAGAGCCAAAAACAATGACCTGCAAGACAGTTACCTGAGTGAACTGAATAAAAACAAACTCTTAACGGGTCAGCTAGAAGAAATAAAAATGCAAATAAAGAAACAGAAAGATCTGGAGAATGGGGAGGTTGGAAATGAAGATACAAGCTTTCCTAGCAGAGGAAAAATTGACAGGCCTAAATACAGAGGTGTCACAGCTGATTTGTCAGCTGCCAAGCACAAACCAAGGGAGCTCTCACCACAGCAGCGCCGTGAAAGAGCAAGAAACAGAGATTTCTCTGTCAGTAGCAACAGCTACAGCCATGGGGTTAAGCAGGTGCCCAGTCCAAGCTTAATGAACAGGAAGGCAGGAAAAGCATCTGGTGCATCAGTCCTTTCAGACACTGCTGTGATAGATACAAAAAGGCTGGAAGAGAAATCTTTAGTTTCCACTTTTTCTTCTGGTCTGAAGGAAGGCTGCATCACACAGAATGAGGGGAAGAGATCAAAAGAGCAGCCATCTGTCCTCAGCCGGTATCCTCCTGCTGCACAGGAGCAGAAATCTTGGAAATCACCTTCCAAACCTATTGGTGACACAGGCCTGAGATCCAAGGCTGAAAAACCATCTCAGGTGCTTCGTGGCAGCTGCCAAACTGCTGCTGACCCACGGGAGGAAAAGTCAAACAAAGGAGAATCAGTGGCTGCTTTGGCCGAGAAGCTGAAAACAAGTCAGGCAGAAGCGAGTGACTGCCTGGGGGACATGCTGCTTGCCAGGGGTAATCACACCTCTTCCAATGGCACAGCTTCAGCATACACGTACCACCTCTCTTCACGTGTGTCGGTGTTGGACTCCACTGGCTCTAAAGCAGAAGTAGCAAACACTTTTGCTGCATCACATAAGCAGTCTTCAGAGGGGAGAGCTAAAAGACAAATAACTTCCCAGGAAAAAGAATTTGCAGACACATCACTTGAAAGTGCAAAGCCTTCAACACTAACAAAACGTTCCCATCACGCCAGGAGTCAGGAAGACATTCTGCAGATTCTCACACGTCTTGATAAAGAAGACATGGAGCAGACTTCAACTTCAGCAACAGATCATGTAAATTCTGACTTAAAAATGGACTCCAAAACCATCCAGAATAACCAGGAAAAACTTAATTCAGATGAAGAATCTGGAAGAAGCAAAAAACCAACTCAGTCAGATTTTGAGACAAGAAGAAACATCAGTTCCAAGCAGTTCTCCAATTCCAGGGGAGTTTTTAGAGCATCACATTTTGAAAATGACAAAACCACTGTAAATGATGAAGAGTCCACCAAGTGTATAAAACCATCAGATACCAGCACCAGTGGATTTAAATCCAGAAGGTCGTTCAGCCCGAGAGAAGCTCTGAGATCAAAAGCTGTCATTAAACCTGCAATTGTTGAAAAGGATATGAAGGCAGTCATGGGAGGGACTGTTTCTGAGGCAGAGTCAGAAAAACAGAAGTCTGGTTTTAAAATGGTAACAAATAAAATGACAAGCAGCATCACAATATTCCCTTCTGAACCAGTAGCTCCAAGGACCAGTGCAGCTATAGCAGCAAAGGAAAGGCAAGTTACTGCCAGCAACATCAGAGTTGCTCCAAATGAGCCTTCACCAATAACAAACAATCTCCCCACACCCTTAGAGATATCACTTAATAAAAGTGCTCTGAAATCATCTGAGATGGACAGAATTGGAGAAGCAGCACTGAGAAGTAAAGCAGAAACAGTGATCTCCAGAAGCAGCATTATGATAAAGACTTCAGAACTCATGGAGAGGAACAGTGAGCCACCTTCAGAGACAGTCAGCTGGAAGAGCCATGGTTCTTCAGATGCAGCTTCATCCGAAACAAAACATGTCACTGTGAGAAGTTCCTGGAGAACAAGACAAGGCTTACATTCCCTGGAGGACTCTCAAACCAAAATGGAGAAAAGTGCAGCTTCCAGTACTACAAACATGTGTAGGTCCTCAGTGGACCTCTCAGAAGTAGAAGGGAACAGTGCAAGAACAGACTCCTTGGCGCAGACCTCAGCAAGGACCAGTGCCACACCTAATTCCTGGAGTGCCCCTGAACTGGGGTCCAGAAGGACCAAAAGTAACTTAAGTGCATCTGAACTACTAACACGCAAGAGCTTTGCAAGTGATCCTACAGCGGCTTCTGCTTGGTACCGGATGACGCTACCTGTAAGTATCCTGTGTTAAACACTCTTATCTTTCAGTTGATGAGGTTTTCCAAGTTGCCTGTTAGTTGTAGGGTGCCTGATTTAAAATTCTTACAGCTTAATGCCTGAAGCGCTGCCCTCTCCCAGCTCCTGCTATCTTCAGTGGCACATCTCATATGTGATGTCCCAATTTAAACTTCTTGAAATTAGATCCATCTGCTTAGGTCTTGTAATGATGTATGAATAACTATAGAGTAGCATTTAGATGCTAAGATCAGAGAAAACATAGCCACACTTTGTGTAAGATGTGGTATGCTTTTCAGAGTGGCTTTGCATGGCACTGTCAACTCGGAGTAGTAATGAAAAAACGGTGGAAATTAGGAGATTTTAATAGGGTTGTGCCTCAGGTAGGTCTAACAGCATCTGTAGAGACATAGGTCCTTTTGGTAAGAGCTGCATGGTTTCCACATGTGAAACTAGAGCCTGGTCTGTAAATGCTTCCTAGGCACCTCCTAAACAGATGAGTGGTGACTGGTTACACAGGGCTGCACACTCCTCGATCTGTGTCAGTATATCATCTGAAAAGATGCAAGATCCACAGGAATTGGTGTGCTCTTTTACTGTTCCTTTGGTTGGTACCAGTGAGGGGAGTCCCTCAAAGCAGGGCTGACATGTGCAGAGAGTTGGTCTGGTGAGTTACACTTGCCACTGGAGCTGCAGACTCCAGCATATTTCAAGTGAGCTCACTGGCACCAAGTGTGCCTCCAGCCCGTTAAACCACATGCCAGTTCCTGCTGCAGCTTCTGCCTCTGCTCTTTACTTGGAGCTGCACTAAGCAGCTGCTGCTATTGCTGGTCTCCAGAAGGAGCCCATCTGAAGCATCTGTCAGGGCTGGTGGCAGAGGGGACAGATTCATAATGAATGACTGTCATTGACAAAGATGAGGTTGTGGAGATGTGAAAGGTTTTACATTTGTAAAACATCTCTTCCACTTCTGTGGCCTTGAGAAGCATGGAAGAATTTGCACCATTGCTTTGCTATTCAGAGTCTATTGCAAGGTGTTATGAAGTGCAGGTTGGCCTTCCAGCTACATTTGGACACTAACAATATATCAGGGACTTAAGGCATGATATCTGCAATTCATCAGCACCAGTGAGCAACCTGAAGTCCCTGTATTGAAGGGGTTATTTAGGAATGGCATCACCTGGACACTGTGCTTGAAGCAGACAATGGAAATCATGGGGACAAGGTGTGTGTAACCCCACTTCTGTCCCACCTCTTGGGTGGGAGATTCCAAGCCAAGATCAGGGTCACTGATGGGTCACAGGCAGTCTGTATTTCTCTTTCATGAATCCAGGAGAACTAACATGACTGAGTTTGTCCTTTTGCATAATGGCAGCTTATGTTCTTGAGAAAAGGGAGATCAATCCCTGGGCCTCCCTTAATTGCAGGAGTTTGAATTCACAGCACACAAAACCTTGAGTCTCACAGCTGAAGAGGTCTTCACTTGCAGCTGGGGTCAGCTCCTGGTTAGTCATAGAGCCCTAAAAAGTGGGTACTCACATATTTCTTTCCATCTTCCCCCTAGGATTCCCCTCCAGGGCTGAACGTAGCTCTGCAGTACGTTCTGCGGGTGGTCTTACTGTCACTGTCAGATCAAATTTGCTAGCTATGTGGTGTGCCTACAACAGTGCCTGACAGAACAACCCGATTTCTGCATGGTCATCCTGGGTATCCCTGTTTCCAGCCTTGCGTGTGTCCGCAGTGACAAGCAGTCAGGAAAGTGACCACATGGTTACTTCTCACAAGACTTGAGTACTGAGTTAGGTATCTCTCTGCATCATACTTCAAAATAAAATTACCCTGATACCACATAGTCACATATCTGAATTCTCGGTCATAAATTAAATATATTTTTAGCTCATAAACAAGGAGCATGGAGTTACACTGAAAGACACTAGATACACAGAAATGCCAAATTTCATGTGTTTTGGGCAGCTCAAATTATTGCATATGCCCTTGGAAAAAAGCAGAGTATCTCCCCTTGAAGGTTATCTTCAGGCTTCCAAAATGCATCACATTGCAAGCAGTCTGTTCCTGCTGGGATTTGTGTTTCAGTTACAGATGTATGGTTTTCTCTGGCAGAAGGCTTGGCACTGATCTATGCTAATTTTGCATATTCAGCTTTCCTGGGAAGGCATAACTGTTACCTCTTCCCAGCTCCACTATCCACAGCCTGAGATTGCCTTAAGAATCCTATGTGGAAAATACAGAGTCTGTGCTGGTTTTGCCAAAATATGCCTTCCTCTCCTCCATGAAATGCTCCCGATGTCTGACCATTCGTTGCAGCACAGCACGAGGATAAAGCAGGCTGGAGGCTCAGCCCCTGCCTGCCCCTCAGGACAGATGCAAACTGAGCACCTGGCAGTAATTCTTGGAAGGAGATGCCAAGGCACAAGGTGTAATTTCAGACTTCCGTTTTTGTACTGCTGATGCAGGAAAGTGAAGCTATAGGAGGTATTGGCAGCCCTTGGCAATACCTGTGCTGCAGAAGCAGCAGCTCTGTAGCACTCCTTGGGGACGTACTTGGGGAGACCGAAGTAGTGGGCGCTGTTGGGTGGATGCTGCAGCCTGAGGACCAGCTCCCTCTAGTGATTCCAGCCAGCATTTCTCGGGCTCCCGTAAAAGACCTCCAGAAGTCATTCTGTTGGGCTTCGTGTTTCAGATAATGAAGTCGGTATTTCTCTTGTGTGATGTTTGCTGAAAATTTGCAATGTCCGAATTAGCGCAAAGGCACTGGCAAGCAGCGAGCAAGATGAGCAGGCAGCAGCGTAAGATGAATGCACTTAATTAATTTTTCTCATGTCTGTGACATAATGTGACTGGAGCTGGGCTGTGTGCCCCATAAATTAGATATGCTTTTCTGAAGTGATGGTAGGCTTTTCTGGTGAGCAGCTCTCATGGAAAAATCTCCATGACAATATCCAGGGATGTGCTGCCTCTCACCCTTTCTCTCCTCCGCTTAGGCACTAATGGAAAGTGCATCCATAACCATTTCACCCTTGCTGACTCCACATAAGTTTCTACTTAAGCAACCAACCATGCCACATCTTTCCTTGGATCTCAGTAACTTTGTCCAAGGGCTCCATTCTGTTTTATGTGATTCCTGGGTGTCACAGTCTGTCTGTTCAGAGCAGCTTCCCAGGTGCTTGTCAGTGATCAGCAGGTTGTCCTTTGGAGTGCCATCACCTCCTGCAATGCCACAGAGCATGCTGAGCTCTGCACTGACCCGCCTGTGGTACGGTAGCGGGAGGTACTGGTCTGCATCCACACATGGGGTGTGGGCAGCCTGATGGCCCTGGCTCGGCTCTTTACCTACAAAACTCTTTGAGATGAGTGCATCTGGGTTGATAGTCATAAATTCCTGCT